TTCTCTGATTGGCCCGAATGAAAAGAAATCCTCGTCTATGGGAGAAATCCCAGACGGAGCAGTGAAGGGAAACGAGAATTGAGCGTAACTGTGTAGGAAGGCAAGGGTCAGGCTAAATCAGATCCTAAACGTAAACAATCATCTCATTAATGTTAGAAGGGTCACAAGAGTAGAATAGTTTAGCTACGCTGAGAATTAAAAACAGAAAGATAAAAGTTATTCAAAGAAAATTATAAGGAAACTCGTTGTGTTAAGTCAGAATAATGTACAAACATTTACATATCAGGTACTTCCCATCCACACACTTAGAAAGTCACTTTTACATCCTTAGAAACATGTATTCAAGTTCTTCAGCTAATACTGTATGTACAGTATGAATGCATCAGATTTTATTGTTGCAATGGAGTTGCAACAAAAGCTAACAGGCTAAGCTGAGGTTCTTCTTCCATGAAGCAGCTCTGTTGTCCTCCATCCATCTTTTCAGTTACTGGCTGAGTCATTTCTACCTTCTCCTCTCTGTCAACGCTCTCTGGTTTCATTTAAAAGAGTCAATCATCAGATATTGTCCAGGATTAACCTTCAGGGTGGAAATAGTTCGCTAGCAGCGTCGCACCGAGGACCTATACACGTCATTATTTACCCAGAATGTTTTGTGTGTAAATAAAATGGCTCCATCAGTGTTAAAATATATATTTTTAAAAATTTACAAAACTAAACAGCCTACAGTATTTTTACAGTCTTTATTTTAAGTTAAATATATGTTTATCAAATAAAGTCTAATATTACAACTAATCAGGGATGCCTTTAACTCATCACATTTTGTTTGCACTTTACTCCCACATTGTTTCACTTTAATCACCATCCCAAGAATGTAGTATTCTATTTTATAAATAAATTAACAGAATAATGATTGTTTTAAAACCTTGTTTGTCTTTTACTTCACAGATAGTGTATGAAGTTGTTACAGATGGCTGGCTGACATATGTGGAGGGCGTCTGTGTCATCTGGTTCACCATTGAGGTGATGCTGCGTGTCATCTTCTGCCCTGACAAGGCAGAGTTCTTCCGCAGTGCCCTTAACATCATAGACTTTGTGGCTATTGTGCCCTTTTACCTAGAGGTGGCTCTTAGTGGTCTCTCCTCTAAAACAGCCAAAGATGTGTTGAGCTTCCTGCGTGTAGTGCGCTTTGTCCGTATCTTGCGTATATTCAAGCTGACCCGCCATTTTGTTGGCTTACGAGTCCTTGGGCACACCTTAAGGGCGAGCACCAATGAGTTCTTGCTGCTAATTATATTCCTGGCGCTGGGTGTCCTCATCTTTGCTACAATGATCTACTATGCTGAACGCATTGGAGCTGACCCAGATGATCCAACGGCTACAGCCCACACTACTTTTAAGAACATCCCCATTGGCTTCTGGTGGGCTGTAGTGACCATGACAACTCTGGGATATGGAGACATGTACCCTGAAACRTGGTCAGGAATGCTCGTGGGTGCCCTCTGTGCCTTGGCGGGTGTGTTGACTATTGCTATGCCTGTGCCCGTTATTGTCAACAACTTTGGTATGTACTATTCCCTGGCCATGGCCAAGCAAAAGCTCCCCAAGAAAAGGAACAAGCACATCCCAAGAGCACCACARCCAGGAAGCCCTAACTACTGCAAGCCAGATGCTCTGGCCATTGCAACAGCCTCTCCCGACAGACTAATGGGCAATGTGCTCGGGCCAGGCATGGTGGGATCCGGCAGCATGATTGTCACTGGAGAYTGTCCGCTGGCGCAAGAAGAGATCATTGAAATAAACAGAGCAGGTGAGTGAACCAATCAACTAAGCATTTTATGAGTCGTACAACTGAATAATGTACATAGAAAACTACTGGGTTTTCTTTTCAGATAATGTGAGAGCTTAAAATATMTGCAGGTTGACAGGTTTCATTCAAATGTCAAAACATACATTAAGACTGTAAATTAAAGAAAAAGGGCAGTAAAAATAGTGGCAGGAAYTCATCTGACAGAGAAAACACTGGTACATGAGAAACACATCAAGAAGCTTTTAACTTGTCTAACATGTAAGTTTAGATTCTCAATTATTTTATAATTCTGTTGTTTTCTTTGTCTTCATCTGCTTAGCTATGTTCTAAGTACTATTTATATAACAAACAAAAACAAAGGGCAATGAGCAAAACCTTCATTGGCATTTGTCTTGTYAATAGATAACTGTTAGGACTCTTAACTAAAGTCATAAATTAGACAAATAAAAGCTTATGAGGTTTGATTTTGTATTTGTTATACTCCTTAAAAAATTTCTTAACAAGATCTCAGACTGGAAGATGGGTAAAGTCCAAATTGAAGCCAAATCCTGCAGTGGATTATGTTAGTTATTACTGTGCAGAAATCACAATTCATGTAGATTTTGCTTCAGTGTGATTTTATTTTTAAAGTAATCTCTTGCCATATGCTCTAAAAATATATTCTGGACCTYAACTGCTTATTTATTGAGCTATAAGCTAAAATCTTGGCTTATTTTGGTGCAGAAAGCAGAGGGCCGGACGTGGCTTAACAAAGGTTTATTAAAACAAAACAGACTTCAGAGTTTACTACCTGCCTGGAAAAGGAGAGAAAGCCGGAGGAACTAAGGCAGAAGCACATGCATAAATTAGAGCCAGAGTGAAGTCTGCGGTACAATTCACTGACACAAGTGAGGACAGAGACAGGCAAAATACTGCGAGAGTTAATCAAGGAACTGGAAACACCTGGGGAAGAGAACCGGGCACAGGTGGACCATCCAGATSGGGGAAACTGATCAGGTGGACAGCCAGGGAGCTGCCGTAACARTGTAGCGGAGACSCATGTAGTATAAATCYGGRGTAACGCTCATGTGGCCCTCGGTGAAAATGAGTTTGACACCCCTGATYTAGAAGATGATAGAGGAATAAGGACTAAAGCAGGAGGCTCCACAGCCAAAGAAACAGTGGGGGCTGCTACAGTGGAGGCTGCAGCCGACGAGGAGCCAGAGCCATTGGAAGCTGCAGCAGGCGATGAACCAGGTGAYTGCCTCCAGCATGGACTCCAGAACTGCTGGCCTAGATGGCTCGGATGGATCAGGAACAGATGACTCCAGAACTGCCGGCTCACACAGGGACTCAGTCAGTACTGGGAGCTCAAGAAATGCTGATTCTGACTCTGGAACTGACTCAGGAATTGCAGTCTGGAGAAGCATAGCTTCTGATTCAGTGAGTTTTGCTCCTGATTGTCCCGCTGCTGGCTGCTCAGTGAACACTGGAGGAACAGGAACAGTCAGGACTGTCAAGGCAGGAAAGGCCAAGGCTTCAAAGGATGTGGAAATGTCAGGGGTGAGGGCTGAAGAAGAGGAGCAAACAGCACAGGGGAAGCAGCTGAAGAAGAGCAGGACATATTGGGAGGCAGAGCTAGGTCTAAGGTACAATAAACCGAAACAAGTGAAAGGACAGAGACAGGCTARAATACTGTGACGATTAATCAGGTGGAGGAAATTAACATTGAGGAGAGGACACTGTGACTGTATGACTGGATACTAAATGTGAACTGTATTGTAAAATCTACACAAGGTTTAATAAAGAGATACACTGATCCACTTCCTGGTTGGCCCAGCAAGAAGGTCCAGAGTTTAAATCGCAGCTGGGATTTGTGTGAAGTCTGCATTCTTTTTTCCAGTTACTGTGGTTTACTTCCGCAATCTGGAGACATGCATTAATAAAGAATTCTAAATAGGTGCACTTTATTCAGAATATGGCTGAATGCTAATTTAAAATGCTAATAAATGGCTTTGCCTATACCCTCTGATTCAAAACAGTGTAAGTAACTTAGATGTAAGCTATTTTAATTATGTGATTWGCAGTGTAGAAGTTACAGGACAAAAATGCAAAAATCTCAATGATAGACATCCACAAATGATTACCTTTTGGAGTCAGTCCAMTATAAGATGTCAGCCACAGTGTTTTAATCTTCTTAAGCAGGGAGACAAGTAAAACATGCAGGATAGTAATCTTTGAAGCTGACCCGTCCTAAACAGTGGCTCGGCGCTGTTCCTCCAGGACACTGAGATCTCATGACACAACCATTCTTCAGTCTGTAAAAACTGTCATTAATATAAGTAGTGGAAAGACAGTGGTCCTACAGGGTACAGATCTGGTCCAGGGTGAAATTAGTCCTGTTGTTTATAGGGATGTAACAATACATCAATCCACATTAATATCTTGATTAAATAACTAATGATTCAGTTGCATTAAGGCAAAATGAAAAAAATCAATACATATCATCATCATATGCCTGATGTGGATCAATATCATGTGCCCATCTATCACAATGCTTTTATTAGATGAGCACATTTCACTTAAGGAAGTTTTTGACGGTTAACTACTTCTGAAGTCAGTATATAAGCAAAAAATGAAAAGACGTCAGGTAATACAAGCATTTCTCCTAGAGCCAGCTTCAAACGCTGGTTCTATTAATGCTATGGAGTTGTGATGTGATGTGATGTGATGTGATGTGATGTGATGTGATGTGATGTGATGGGGAGTGTTTCTTACAAGAGAAGCTGAAATACCAGCAAAATGTTTCGCAGTATTATTTGTCAGAGTTTATGCTGCTGATGGGTCTGAGTGATGTTCCTTTTGGGAAGTCCATATAAACATGGAGCAGCTTCTCTTGGGTATRATCTGCAATAAGATAATTAACTGATTACTTTGTTCTTTCCAAGTTTGTAACCTAAGATTACCACACTCTGTTGACATTCTAAAGGCATTCCCAAAAGAATATTTATGTCAAACTGGTTTGGTTAAAAGGATTGGAAGGCACTGAAAGAAAAACTACAAACCTCAGCATATCTGCCACTTAGAGGGATTTTAGATTATTTTTGCAAATCTGCTTTGAGGTCAAGGTTGTCGTGATGAGAGGACCCAAAATAATACAGACTCCAAAGGTCAGTAGATCAGTTAAAACATAAGCATCAAAAGGCTGACAAAGCAGACACTAAGAAAACTATGTTGGAAACTCAAACTGAAGGAGARCATGGAGCAGAATAAACAACTTCAGGTGGGGCATTTTAAGGAATGGAGCTCAGAAAACTAGAGGGCAATAAAGAGTTAGAACTGATGAAGAAYATGGGAAACAGAAGTATTTTAAACAGGGAGTTCTGAGTACTCAAATGACACACAGTTGTGCTAAATAAGCAAGAACAGGTGTGGATGATCCACTGAGGGCAAGGAGAGCTGAGGGAAATGATGACCAATGGGGTGGGGGGGACTTAACAAAAGCTTTGAGAACCACTGAAATATCCCAATTTGTTCTTTTAGATCAGTTTAAGAGCGAAACTGGTTTGTATAGATCTACAGTCTGCTGGGTCTTTATTTTTATTTTCTGTCGGACAGATTAAAGTTTGTAGGAAGGGCTGATGTGGATAAGAAATAATTAAACAGAAGAAATGGAGCTACAAAGTTGCCTGGAAAATTAAAAAAGCTGTTTTTTGAATGCATGCTTTGTGAATTGTTTATTTTTATACAATAACCTTTAGTCATTATTTTTGCTAAACCAATTTTAGTTCTTTCTCCTGGTAATAAAATCTTCATACYTTTCCTTCTTTTTGTTAAATGCACTGTTGCTCACCCGCCCCACTCCCATTTTAAACAGACTCCAAGCAGAATGGTGATGCAGCCAATGCAGCTCTAGCCAACGAGGACTGCCCCACCATTGACCAAGTCCTTGGGGATGAGCGCAGCCCAGCCACCGGGGGTCTCGGCTCCAATACCAGCCGTGAGCGGTACCCACACGACCGGGCCTGCTTTCTGCTGAGCGCAGGAGAGTTTCAGCGCACCGTAGATGGGAACGTTCGAAAAGGTAGGAGGCAGAGGGGAAGCTGGGTCTGGGAAGAAGCTGACTAGCAGCTGGAAAGTGCCACTTGAAGCAAAGTCATAATTACGTGCACTGTGCAAAATAAAACAAAAATGAACACAGATGTTCATTAAAAAATGTATAAAATGACATTCATTTATAAGTGCACAGACATACTCAAACAAGGTAGATAATGCTAAAGATTTAGATTCACTGATTTAAAAATAACTATTTTTATGCTAAAGTAAAATCAAAAATTGATTTTGTGTCACCTTCCCTTAACCACAACTGTCCTATCTGAATACTTCATCAATATCATCATCATCATGTTTACTGGTAAAGCAGGTCCAGTCTTCTTTCTCACACTTTCATTTTAAACACTTAGTATCAGGACAGTTTTGAGAGGAAGCGGACCAACTGAATAGTTTCTTTTTCACAACATCGTGAGGGACAAAAAGCTCCTGTGTCGTGTTGTGAGAATGGCAGATACTGAGGATTCCTCTGTGGAATCAAGGCCACCACTGACCACCGCCCCCAGGCACCGCCAACACACCTGGTGGTGGATAAAATTACTCACTCGGTTCACCAGGATCCATCACTCTGTGCCGCCTTGAATACGCAGAAATACAACTGTACCTCCTTTGTTACATGCAGCTTAAATTGAAGATCTTGCACMAAAAACATTAAGTACATTCCCTGTTTAATTCCAGACCAGGAAAATACACAAACATTCACTATTTACCGGAAACATCGGTGTAAAGCTTGTTTWGTGTTACTCTTCCTTTCCTCAAGTTGTGTGATGTCATGCTTGTGTTACTTGGCTCTTGTTAGTTACACAATCATCTTTCTCTTCATCTATTCCTCCTTTCTTCTGTCTGTACTTCCACCCTGCTTTGTCTCTGTGTTTTGTATGTAGCTTTTTTCCCTTTCTCCTCCTCATCTTCCTCCTCTTCCTCACACCCAGTCTCTTCTCACTCTGGTATTAACACCTGGTTTTAAACAGAAGCTCATAAGCACATTTTCTCTGTCATGTTTTATAGACGAAGAAAACAACTTTTCGGATTCTCCGATAAGTTGGGTTTTACCGTAGCATATATTTTTAATCTAAAAAGAAGTTTTAAACAAAAGTACCAAAGCCTATGATAATATTCCTACAAAATAAATCAATAATCAAAAGTTTGCAAAAAACATTTTCAGATGAGTTCCAGAGTGAAAGTGACCAGTGTGCAWGTGTGTGACTAAACAGTTGATTTACTCTGTTTCCAACCCTAGACCTGAACTCAAGTCAGATTTATTGTCCAGGAAGCACCTTTAAAGGCATATTAGGCTAGTGTAAAACATTAGTTGTTCAGAAAACAGAATTTGACAAGTTCCACAGGCTGACAGGAAACAAGGGGAAAGAAGACAGATAAGACAAGGAAGACACAACTAAAACACACATCTGTACAAACTACCTGCATTAGAACAATGCTGAAGAGTTGAGGGGGCAGTTTTTACTGTTTGGTGATGGTATCTCAGCTTTTTTTCTTCTACCTTCAGAGATCTGAACTCACTGACATCAACTGGCTCTTTGAAAATTTGTGCTCCAAGACAAAACAGGCTTGTTTTATTTTTCTCAAAAATCTAGTTTTCTCACCTTCCTCGTCACATTCTGACCTGAAGCTTTACATTACGGTCCACCAGCTGCACATGTAAACATAAAAGACCTTCAGCAGGTGGTAAGAGCAGCAGAACACAACCATCTATTCTTAGTCACAGCTGGGCATCTTCAAATAAGTAGGTGTATTTTTAAAAGTGCCAACTCATCAGGAAGATTCAGATTAATCAAAAATAAAAACAGAAAAATCAGCTTCTTCTCACTTCCCACTAACTCCTCTTCCAGTTAGTTCTGAAGGAAGTCAACATTTCTTGCTGCTAAGAAATGTTTCTTTTCTTGAATTTGCTGAGCATAATTTAGAACCCCTTTAAATTTGTCATTATTCTTTAAAATCCCTCCACCCTTCTGCTGCTTCTCCTTCTTAGAGCTGTGTTTACCGATGGTTAGAAAACACATTATCCCACCCAACTGTTAAGGAATGTGGATCAGGWAAGAAAATGCATCCACACAATTAAAATTACTCCTACTAAAATAAGAAGTGAATGTCTTTCTGCTGTAAAGTGGCTTCAAGTGGGAAGTGGGAAGAATCTGGTTTGTGTTTTTATTTTGATTAATCTGAATCTTCCTGATGAGTTGATGTCTTTTAAAAAATACACCTAGTTTTTCTGAAGATGGAACAGGGTGACATTCACAGGTATGATGAGCAGGTGAGATGAGCACTGGAGCTGGAACAGGAGGTGCACCCACAGGAATAATAGATGGACGTTGTGACAAAAATAATTGTTGACTTATCAATTAATGGAAAAAAATAATTGGAGATTAGTTAAAATGATCATTAGTTGCAGCCCAAATAAAAACAGATTGACTGTCTGGGGGTGTCTGGGTTAGCTGCAAGCATACAGTACGTATAACAAAAGTCAACTAATAGCCCTTGGATTGTTTGGCAGAAGGAGGAAGGAGGTCCTCAGGATTTCTGATCCCCAGTTTCTCCCCCATTTGGGGCATTTATAATTGATAGTGACACTCAGTATTTTGGTATTATTTTCTTGAGAATACAGTCTAAAACCCCTTCAAATATGGTGAAAAGCATCCCAAATTTTAACAATCTGCCAAAAGCTGTTTTTCCTGGATTGTACATCCTGCTGCACTGTCTCAAGGACATCACAGCCTCCATCTTGGGTCTTGTCTGATGTGGCACACCCCCGCTTCTATTACTCTTGTGTTGCCATGATTTTTTTTTTATTATTGTTTTAGCCACTTCAGTAGAAAGCAGAACTGAATATTAGTTTCTTAGTTTCTTCATCATAGGAGACTTTTTTAAGAAGAAAAAGAAAGAGAAGAAAAAGGTGAAATTTTAATGGGAAAGAGTGAAAGAGAGATTAGAAGATATGTGAAATATACATCAAGAAAACACAAGACAGCAGAACCGGCATCTGTCTGCACACCTGCAGAAACAGAAAGAACAAAAACACAGCAACAAAAATACATATGTATATAATAATAATGATTATAATCTTGCTGAAAGGTACTGTATATATAGGTGTGTGTGTGTGTGTGTGTGTGTGTGTGTGTGTGTGTGTGTGTGTGTGTGTGTGTGTGTGTGTGTGTGTGTGTGTGTATATATATATAGGTGCAACAATACATGTACCTGTATCGAACAGTGCTGTATCGAACAAAACAGCTTTTAAAAATTGACTTTATCAACCTGTCTTCTGAAGATGCTCTGTGTTAAAGGATCAGTGGATCTGTGTTCGACTACTCCTCCTAGGCTGCATTTTTGAGCGCAGGTCCACTGAGAAACTTGCTGTTTCAGCAACATTAAATTAAAAAACTGTACTTTTGATTAAACAAATGTTCATAGTTAATATAAATAAATTACAAGTTAAAAGGGTATGGAAATTTCTCTTCTTTTGTATCAAAAAAATATCGAACCGTGAGACTAAAGTATCGAACCGAACCGAACAGTGAATTTCCTGTATCGTTGCACCCCTAATATATGTATATATACTGTATATACACACACACAGTGGTTAGACAATGAAACTGAAACACATGTCATTTTAGTGTGGGAGGTTTCATGGCTAAATTGGACCAGCCTGGTGGCCAATCTTCATTAATTGCGCATTGCACCAATAAGAACAGAGTGTGAAGGTCCAATTAGCAGGGTAAGAGCACAGTTTTGCCTCCAAAGCTAGCATGAGCCTACATTTATCATATGAACCATTATTGCTAAAGTAAGTAGAATACCTACACTCTAAAAATGAAATGTTGGTTTTACTTTACCATGTTATGTTACCTGGTTCCACTTAACTGAGTTGAGTAAAGTCAAAGCAACATATGTTCTTTGGCTAAAAAAACTGGTATATTGCTTTGAATTTACTCAACTCAGTTAAGTGGAACAAGGTAACATGACATGGTTAAGTAAATCCAACATTTCATTTTTTACAGTGTAAACATCTGACAAATGAAGCGAGGAAAGAAAAGGTGAACCAGAAGCCATGCTAAATCAAGCTAAAGCTTGTGAGCGCTAGAGGACCCCAAATTGACCAATAAAACCAAGGAGTGTTAAAAGATAAAAGGTTTCACAAGCACAATGCAGTAGTAGAAAATATACTCTCAACGGCCACTTTATTACGTACAACTTGCTTGTACCAGTTTGAACACCATTTTGCCTTCAGAACTGCCTTAATCCTTCATGGCATAGATTCAACAAGGTACTGGAAACATTCCTCWGAGAGTCTGGTCCATATTGACATGATGGCATCACACAGTTCCTGCAGATTTGTCGGCTGCACATCCATGATGCGAATCTCCCGTTCCACCACATCCCAAAGATGCTCTATTGGATTGAGATCTGGTGACTGTTGAGGCCATTTGAGTACAGTGAACTCATTGTGTTCAAGAAACCAGTCTGAGATGATTCATGCTTTATGACATGGAGCATTATCCTGCTGGAAGTAGCCATCAGAAGATGGTACACTGTGGTCATAAAGGAATGGACATGATCAGCAACAATACTCAGGTAGACTGTGGTGTTGACACGATGCTCTAATGGGCCCAAAGCGAGCCAGTAAAATATCCCCCACACCATTGCATCACCACCACCAGCCTGAACTGTTGAAACAAGGCAGGATGGATCCATGCTTTCATGTTGTTGAGCTAAATTCTGACCYTMCCATCCRAATGTCGCAGCAGAAATCAAGACTCATCAGACCAGGCAACGTTTTTCCAATCTTCTCTTGTCCAATTTCGATGAGCTTGTGCAAATTGTAGCCTCAGTTTCCTGTTCTTAGCTGAAAGGAGTGGCACCCTTAGCTGAAAGGAGTGGCACCYGGTGTGGTCTTCTGCTGCTGTAGCCCATCTGCCTCAAGGTTTGAGGTGTTGTGTGTTCAGAGATGCTCTTCTGCCT